ACTGAGAATACAAGGTTCGCGTATAGTGTTCTTTTATAGTCCCAGTAAACAGAAATAGCTCTAACAAAGAGAAGAGTAACAAAACAAGGGGAGACCACTCTTGATTATTCATAACAACTATGTCAGTTCTACAGGTAAACAATGTTTTAAAATTTAAACAAATCGGTTCTTTATATTCGACACATACTTTTTATATCAGAATTTTTCCCAATGTTTCTTCTTTTGAATGTTACAAAAAATATTACACTAAAATTAACACGTTCTAAGTTACGAACGTTCATATCGACACATATAGTCTTGTTTTCCAACGGACATGGCGGAAGTGTCGCCTAAAACGATATTGCGTTTAAACTGATTGAGAATTCCAGAGAATTTATTTACAACGTACTAAAAGGCGAATACATAGCCGGGCCACGGGTCTCATGATACGCTCCACCCACTATAATATATCTCAATTTTCATTAGGTAGTAATAACTGGTTTCAAGGATATCTGTCTACTTGGGCAGCTAGACAATCCCTATTGCAGACGCTCGCTCAGGCACGCTTGTGTTTGCCCATCACCCACAGAGCCCACCTGTGGTTTATACTGCAACTACGCTGAGCAGACCTTAGTTACAGTTTCTGGGAAAGAGCGTGTTATCTAGAATGATCAAAAAACTGAACAACACCGCACGCTGAGATCGACTCCTCTACTCCAATAACATCAAGAAGTTTCCTTCCTTACAAATCGACCGTGGTGAGACTCGAACCCGGGTCTTGTGGTCAGAAAGCAAATGTTCTAAATATTCGGCCACGCGCCCATATGTCAATTTTCATAAGGTAGTATTCATATAAAATACAAATGTTATTCTAGCCTAATTATGTACAATAATGGATCAGATGCAATATAGGTGAATAATTCAACTAGAAAAATTGAAAAATACAATCTATCTAAATACAAGTTAGACATTTCTCATAATAGATGATTCCATCTTAAGTAAATCAACAATGCTTTGCGGCAATTTTTAACATCAACTTGAATTTTTCTTTGTTAAAAAGTTGAATAATTTTAACACGTTCAACATCATGGATAAAAAAAAACTGAATTTTATATCGTGCTTTATCGAGATTTACCGTGAGCAAAACAAATTCACGGATTTAGAAGAAAAACAAAAGGACCCCAGAATTACCGTCAGAATCCGCTTAAAAAAAATTCATCCTTTAATAATCAGTTGTGCTTGGTTTAATTTGTAATGTATATAGGTAGATAAAAAGCAAATGTTGATAAGATAGCATGGGTCACAAAGCACTCACTACCCGAGGACACCCAATCAGACTTCGGCCCCATCTCGACACCTATGACACCCCCCACTATGATACAACTCAATTGTTATATATAATACGCACCCCCACTCAAATACATCTCAATTTTCATAAGGTAGAATTCATATAAAATACAAATGTTATTCTAGCCTAATTATGTACAATAATGGATCATATGCAATATAGGTGAATAATTCAACTTGAAAAATTGAAAATAAATACAAAATAAATACAATATATTTAAATACAAATTAGAGACATGCCATTCCATCTTAAATAAATCAATGTTTTGCAGCAATTTTTAACATCAACTTGAGATTTTTCTTGTTAAAAAGTTGAGTAATTCTAACACTGACTTTTACAAAGTGTTTTTTTCTTTTCGAGACTGATCACGAGCGAAACACATTGATGGAATTTGGACAATAAATAAATAAATAAAAAAACCCAGATTGACGGCAAAATCAGCTAAAATTTTTCATCTTGTAATAGACAGTTGCGCTTAGTTTAATTTGTAACATATATCAATGTAGAGAGAAAAAAGCAAATATTAATAGGATAGCGACAGTCACAAAACACTGCCTGGGACCCCCAACCAGGCTTGTCTCCCGGTCGGGAGCTTCGGAGATAGTACGCACCTGCGCGGATATATCAGGAAATTTAAGCCTAACAATTATTTATATGTGACATGCATAGTTATTGACTTGACGTAGATAAGTCTGGTACAAAAATCACAGTATAGAGACGCTTGCAAGGTTCGAACTCACTACACTAGCTTGATAAATCTTCACACTACAACATACTCCTATTTCATATGGCAAAAATTTAAAAAAAAACACTCGTAAGAGTTGCTGATGAATAAAAATTGAAGGTCTTGTATTTAGCGAATGCTGGTTGTATAGAAAACAGTTAATAACTTTTTGTGTAGCCACTTTGAGTAATGGTTAACGAACTAGTCTCGTGGACCATTAGTAGTGAGTTCGATCCTTGTGACAAACTAAGCTTATGAAATAGCAACTAGCTTTTTCTTATCTATAATTCTCAAAATGTGTGTGTGATTGGATGTTGTTTATGCGTTGCCACAATTTTAATCCGATTTCGATGAAATTTTTTTTCTTTGATGGATAATTCTTCAGTGTCCGTTTTGAGTCCAAATTGGCTGGAAAAAAATTACAACTTTGAAGGTGAAAAATCGAAAAAAACTGATATTTAACACGTTGCGCAAAAATCAAAGGCAAATTTAATGTCTGTAAAATACAGATACCAAGATAGTCTATTATGCGTACAGTCAAATTAGACAGTTGAAATCTAACACAAAAGATTATTAGAATTATAAAAAAAATATATATTATAAATAAAAATTATCGTATATTATTATTATGACGGTCCATGGAAGAGGTTCCTTCCTTGCAAGATTGAGAACGCAAAAACGGTCCTTTTCAGGGCCACCTACCATTCAAATTGTTAACCCCACCATTTGGGGATGTGCCTCAGTTGCACCCAAATGTTGTTATAATATTGATTTTCGGGTGGGCTGACTTTAAACTTAAACTGCTTTAATTGAACGGTAAAAATTCCCAGTAATGAAAGACCCGGTCGAAAACGGGTTATACTGCTAGTTCAATAATAATTCCTCATGGGGGGACAATCTTTCAGACCCTACAGCAGCGTTTCTCAAGCTTTTTTTTTTTTTTTTTTTACTTAAGGGCGCACTTGTAGAATAACTAAAACTCTAGAGCGCCCCTTAAGGAAAAAATATTCTTGTATTATTCCGAAATATGACTCTCATCTTTATTATATACACAACAGGAGACACGGTGGATAGCGGCTCGGATTGAGGAAGCTGAGGGCCGAGTTCAAATTCCAGTCGGATCCATTGCATTCCCTACCCTTGGGAAAGGTATGAATCCTCTTCTTCTAAGCTAAATGGCAAGACAGGTTGTGGTCTTTAACCTTGGGTGGCAACCGGTCTAGGAGAAGGGAAACTGAATTCAAACCGACCTGAAGTGGCTCCGTCAGACTATCTTGCCCAAGAAACACCACTGCTTATGTGCACATGGTATATGTACCCCTACGACTCTGATGTATCACGGGATTTGTGATTGTTATCTATACAACGTTTCGACCAAGTACCCTCTGGTCAGCCATTGTCCTCTGGTGTCCATTAATATGGGATATGTGTTGATTGTGATATGTTGTCCCTGTGAAACCACTAGATAACAGTTACACATGTATAGTGATTTTCCAAGCGAAGCTTAGATGTGGCACCAGGCAAAAAGTAGAGGGTACCCAGTGAGGATAGAAATCACTACTCACTCATAATTGCTCTAGCGAGACAAGCTTGCTAATCATTAGACCGCCCCAGTAACATATCTACTATGCCACCGTCCCGAAGTGGTCGGTGACGTAGTAGATATACATGTGTTACTGTCATGTGTGGCGTAGTAGTGTTCGGCGTTTTTGAAGACCATTATATTCAATGTTTTTTGGCATTTGGTTGTGATGGCGGGTTTGTACCGCTTTTTATAATTTAGCATTTCATTTAATTAGTTACACAGGACGACTGAAAATTAACTCCCTATTTTATGTATGATGGACTATCTCGACCAACTATATTTTTTAAAAGTCGAGATAGTACACTATTTACATTATTCGTTCTATTTTCCTCTTCTCTGTCACCATATTTATTACAACGTTTCGGCTATTGTACGCTCCGGCCTTCTTCAGTTGTCGAACTGAATCTTTTATTTCGCTCACTAGGGTAGACTGTTCTAGTTCCACGTGCCATGTCTAATGAATGTCACCATATTTATTACAACGTTTCGGCCGTTGTACACTCCGACCTTCTTGGGGTGAATTAATATTTGTGATAAGTAACTTTACATTATTTGGGGTGAATTAACAAAAAAAAGATACTAAATCTGCTTGTGCCAAACCTGTGCTTCGGCAATTTTTAGAATGTTCAGCTTTAGCATTCCCCAAAGTAGATTAGCGGTACTGTTTTCATTTAAAGAGATTTATGAAGAAGCTGCTATTTTCTTTGTAGACTGGCCGATAATGACTTATCTAAATCCATTGAGGAAGGCAAAAGAGAAAGGATTATCCACTCCTTCTTAAAGATTAGTTAATCTAACATCCAGTTTAAAAAAATCAAATGACAAAGGCTTGACTTAGACATGGAAGTTATGTGCTTAATGCCTCTATCTTTTTTTTAAAAATAAAGATTTTTTAGATATGAAAAATAATTCATAAATTACTCTTCTGTTAAGTTGGGGCGTACCACGCTACCTTCCTGGGTGCATTAGTTCACACCAGCTGAGAAACGCTGCCCTATAGACTAGTGCTACGAAATCCCAACAACGTTACCAAATAACAAAAAACCACATCACTTGAACACATCCAATAGCAGCAGCAGCAAAAAAAAAAAAAAAATTACCAAAAAGCAAAAAGTTTGGAAAAAAACTCCTGTTAATGGTAGAAAGAGCTATAACAGTTAGTGGACTTAAGAAATCTAATTTCCTGAAAAGCTGTTTTAAGAAAAAATATTTTATGAATTTTAACTGACAATAACGCCAACAGTGTCTTTTACCATTAATATTACAGTCATTAAGCTTTTCAAACGTGAGGTACCCACTGATTATCGAATGCTAGACTCTGCTCCACGGCTAAGGGTCATTCTATTCAACTTCAGATTAATCTAATGCTAGACAGCAGTCCTGGGAAGCGCTGTGAGAACAGAAGTTATGAAACTACCGAAGGATGCTGAGGATACCATCAATAGAACATGATCGATGAAGTTTTAGAGTAAACGGAAACGAAAAGGAAACTTATACTTATCATCAAGAAAGACACAGCTGAGGTCTCTAGGGTACATAATGAGGAAAGAGGGCTTGGAAAATCTGATACTCACATGACAGATTGACAGAGGAAAACAAAGCAAAGCATACTTAGTGAGCTTGAGTAAATGGATGGCGGAACAAGGTTTAGGAAAAATAACAAAAAGACAACATATGTTAAGAACTACAAAAGACAGGAAATTGTGGAGAGCCATAATCGCCTTCGTCCTGAAGGGATACGGCTCATATTTAAGAACCTATACTGGCAGCAAACTGCCTGCATACGGATAGTAAATGAGTTCAGCATATATACAAAAAATAAAAAGTAGTGAAAGACAAGGATGTGACTTCTCACCGGACATATTAACCCTATACAGTGAGACGATTCAGAGATAATTAGAAGTCCTACCAGGATTCATTACTGGTGGCCACAATATTAACAACATAGGATATTCAGATAACACAGTCTTGATAGCAAACACGGAAAAAAAATCATAAATCTGCGACAGAAGGTAGCGAAGAAAATGAGAATAAAGAATTAAACATCAAATGCAAGAAGACAATGCATATCTGTTATCAAAAGGATGAGACCAAAATTCAAATTACAAATGGGAGATACCAAAAATAAATATTGTTAGAAACAAAGCGTACTAAAGTGTCACGTGATACCTCTCCTCCTGACATGTCAGCGAATGATGGACAATCTCCTCAAAGACGAAGAAGAGATTTGAAGCAACAGAAATATGGTTCTTCAAAAGGATGCTTTTACCAACCTAAGCAGTTTGTTACCATGCAAATTTGTCTCCCTCTCATGATCACGTACATTTCAGTATATAAAATGAATTTATCCTGAAAGTAAATCAAGGTATGCAACTTTGACATATTTGGTAAGGATATTAAAATAATAAAGAACCTACACTGGCAGAAAAGTGCCTGCATACGGTGAGAAAATGAGTTTAGTAAATATAGAAAAATAGAAAGTAGTGGAAGACAAGGATGTGACTTCTCACTGGACATATTAACCCGATACAGTGAAGCGATTTTGAGATAATTAGAAGTCCTATTCATTATTGGTGGACACAATATTAACAACATGAGATATTCAGATGACACAGTCTTGATAGCAAACACAGAAAAAAATTACAAATCTCCGACAGAAGGTAGTGAAATAAAGCGAGAATAAAGGGTTAAACATCAACTGCAAGAAGACAAAATGCATATCTGTTATCAAAAAGATTAGCCCAAAATGCAGATTACAAATCGAAGATGCCAAAATCAAACAAGTACAGCAATTTAAATATTTGGGAACTGTTCTAACAGAGGACAGAAAGTGTGACACTGAAAGCCGAAGGCGCACTTTGATAGCCAAAGATACATTCTAAAAGCTAAGCAGGGTACTAAGAAATAGAAAAAAAACTTCGCTACAAACAAGGAAAAAACTAACAAACTGCTACGTGATATCTGTCCTCCTGTACGACAGTAGATGCTGGACAATCTCATCACAGATGAAGAAGAGGCTTGAAGCAACAGAAATGTGGTTCTACAGAAGGATGCTGAGTATACCATGGACTGAACATGTGAGCAACAACAAAGTTTTAGAGAAAATGGAAACAAAAAAGAAACATACTTAACATCAGTAAGAGATAGTCGAAATGTCTAGCGCACATAATGAGAAAAGAGGGTTTGGAAAATCTGATACTCACAGGACAGATTGAAGGCAAGAGACACGGAGGAAAACAGCACGTAACATAGTAATAAATGGATGACGGAACAGGGTTTAGGAGAAATAGTAGAAATAGAATATTTATTAAGAGCGGTAAGGAACAGGAAGTTGTGGAGAGCCATGATCGCCTATGTCCTGAGGGGATATGGTACATAAAGAAGAAGACTGTAAGTGCCCACTTGTGGCTTTAAAAAAAATAATGGTATTTCTTGAGTGGAAAAAATTTTTGAAAAATGAGTATTTACCTTATTGCTGATGCTCAAATCGGTATTTTTTTCATTCGATTCCATAAGATTTCCGTTGCAAGGAAATACAATTAAAAAAATAGCGGCACACAAGATTTTCGAAGGGAATTCCCAGTGTTGATGACCCATAATTATTTGACATAAAGATGCCGGTGTCTTCTTTTAATAATAAGAGGTGTAAGCTATCAGAAAGAACTGTACCACAGTCGCTGCTTAGGTCGATGAAATTTTTTTTGCTTCTAAAGCCCCTTTCTCACTGAACGAGGCTGGCTTACTACGGGCGATGGAAATCCACTCTTCCTCTTAAAGGGTTTTTTTTTTTTTTTTTCTTACTCTTCTTGCAGTTGTAGTGTCAGTAAGACGCGTGGTAAATGCTGCGGTGAGCGGCAAACGAAGTGAGGAGTCAAAAATAAGACGTCATCATTTTCTCACAAGCTAGAGAGGCAGATAGAAACAAAGAGGTGGGAGAGAACTCCCAAAGAGAAGGTGCAAGAAACAAGATAGATTAATTAACCGTTGTCTTCAGTGAACGTATTCGGATAAAATAGTGAAGGAAAAAAAAAAGAGATCAGTCTTGGTAATATACAAAATGCTGGTATATATATATATATTTTTTTTTCTTTTGGAAAGAAGAGTATTGAATGTTATACTCGCGTCAACTTATTTTTATCCGAAATAAACAGAATTGAACTAAATTGTCTATTTCCCAAGTATGAAGAATTTATATATATTTACATTAATTTTTAAATTTTATTCTTTTATTTATTTATTTTTATTATTCAGTATATTGATAATTTCGAGGGGTCGCCAACATTCTACGGAGTTAATTAATTTTTCTTTATTCTTATTCATTAAAGATTTCAGCACTGAAAATTACATTTTTCAATTTTTCGTTCTCGTGCTCAATTAATTATTATTTTTTTTTTTTTTTTATCGTTTGTTCGTTCTTTGTTTTTCTTTCTTCTTTTCTGTTCTTTTTTTCTTTTCTTCTTCCACTTTTTCTTTTATCTTTCTAACTCTTCTTTCTGGCTTCTATTTCCTTCTTTCTCCTTCTCTCTCTCTCTGTCGTGTTTTTCTTCTTTCGTTTCTCTTCTTTCTCGGTTTTTTCTGGCTTCTCTTTCGTTTTTTTTTTCTTTTGTTTTCCACTCCTTTCTCTGGCTTCTCTTTCCTTTTCTTCTTTTATTCCTCACTCCTCTTTCCTTTTCTTCTTTTCTTTCTCACTCCTCTTTCTGGCTTTTCTTTCGCTTTTTTTTTTCTTTTCTTTCTCACTCCTTTAGCTTCTCTTTCGTTTTCTGTCTCACTTCTCTTTCTGGCTTCTCTTTTTCTTTTTTTTTCTCACTCCTCTTTCTGGCTTTTCTTTCTTTTTCTTCTTTTCTTTCTTACTCCTCTTCCTGGCTTCTCTTTCTCTTTCTTCCTTTCTTTCTCACTCCTTTTTCTGGCCTCTCTTTCCCTTTTTTCTTTTCTTTGTTACTCCTTTTCTGGCTTCTCTTTCCTTTTCTTCTTTTCTTTCTCACTCCTCTTTCTGCCTTCTCTTTCTTTTTCTTCTTTTCTTTCTTACTCCTCTTCCTGGCTTCTCTTTCTCTTTCTTCCTTTCTTTCTCACTCCTTTTTCTGGCCTCTCTTTCCCTTTTTCTTTTCTTTGTTACTCCTTTTTCTGGCTTCTCTTTCTTTTTCTTCTTTTCTTTCTCACTCCTCTTTCTGCCTTTTCTTTCTTTTTTTCTTTCTCACTCCTCTTTCTGCCTTCTCTTTCGTTTCCTGTCTCACTCCTCTTTCTGGTTTCTCATTTTTCTTTTCTTCTTTTTTTCTCTCGCTCCTATTTTTGACCTTTTCTTTTTTTCTATATCACTCCTTTTTTAGCGTCCATTCATTTTTTTCTTTACTTTCCTATTTCTTTTTTCTTTTTCTTACGATTCCTTCTTGCTTCCTTTTTTTCTTTTCTTTCTTGTTCCTCTTTCTTGCTTCGTCTCTTCTTTTTTTTTCTTTGTTGCTTGCTTGCTTACTTCTTTCCTTCTCAGTCTGTTTGGGGTTGTAATCACTTTTTAACTGTACCGTCTGCTTCCAGTATTTATTTACAAATCTGACCAATGAGAAAACAGAGTCGCATTTTCAGAGCTTCGTTACTTTTTTTTTTTTTCTCATTTTTAAAAGAAATTTTTATTCTCATTTCTACTGATAATGCCATTTTTTTCTTTGTTCAATGATTTTCCAGAATGAGAATTTGCAAAATAGCTTCGCGTTAATCTTAATGTTCATTATTACATTTTTATTTTTTGGTCATCTAATATATAAAGTACGGAGTTTTTTGGGTTTTTTTGTGAGTCCGTTCTAAAACGCTGAAAATGAATTCAAACTGTGACATCGAATAAGTACGCTTGTACTATGGGATTTATTCTTACCTCCACTCAAACGGAATCTGGCAGAAGGCCGAGTTTAATGTAAGAGTTTCACACATACATTGAACTTTTTCCATATGCCGTGTCTCTTCAGGGGGTGGGTAATCATAGCTCTCCACAACTTCCTGTCCTTTATAGCTCTTAATAAATATGTTTTTTACTATCTCTCCTAAACCCTGTTCTGCCATCCATTTACACAAGTTCGTTGTTCGCTATTCCCACTGCCCTCTTGCCTTTAATATATGCCAGTGTGAAATTTTCTAAACCCTCTTTCCTCATTATATACTTATAATTATTGTATTCTTCGTTATAGGGATTTTCCAAGGGTAGCTTAGATGTGGCACAAGGCCGAAAGTAGGGGGCACCCAGTGAGGATCGAACAATTACGCCTGAGTAGTGAACTCAGGCGTAATTGTTCTAGCTTGCTAACCATTACACTGCCTCGGGGTGCCCTTATATTCCTTGTCATATGACCTTAGTAAAGTTTGTCTTTTTACTATATCTTCTAATGACTGGTATACGAACCTTTTACACAAGCTCGTTAGGTAGGTTACGTCTCCAAGACTAAATTTCTCTCCATTCCTCATCTGAGAGACCTCTTTCTGCCTTCCATCAGAATGGCTGATGCTAACCTTCAGGAGAGTGACTCGTTGCGCCTTCTCGGACAAATATTCTCGGCTGACATGAAGTGGAAAGACTATATTGAATCCATTGTTAAGTTAGCTACTAAGAAATTTTGCTTCAGTGTGTTGGGCGAGGCAATTCTTCTCACTCGAATCTATCTTACATATCTATAAGATATGTCCATGCTTCAAATATTGCTGCCACATATTGTCCGGTGATCCTGCTATATATTTAGAGATAAATCAGCAATATTATTGGTCCTGATCTGGTGTCTCGTCTCCAGTTACTTTCCCACCACCGTAAAGTTGCCTCACTGTACCTTATCTATAAATACTTTCATGGTAATTGTTCGAATGAGCTCTCCGCTAGGGTACCTAGACTTTATGAATTTAAGCGCAGTACTAGACTGGCGGTGAGGTCTCATCAATTTACAGTTGAGTTGGCTAGATTTAACCGTAAGTTATGCGTTTTTCTCGCATTAAAATCACTATTTGATGATTTTTTTTTATTTTTGGTATAAAAACTTGTTAATGATTTTTAATGCATAACCAGTTCACTGTTCACTGCCTTTAACCCTAACCCTAACTCCTAACCCTAACCCTAACTCCTAACTCCTAACCCTAACCCTAACCCTAACCCTAACTCCAAATCCTAATTCCTAATCCTAACTCCTAACCCTAAACCTAACATATTTCAGACTTCCAACAGTTGGTAAATATCATTCTATAACAGAAACAGAATAGTAGATATCATAATATAGTAGAAAATGGACGGTTGATTTCATGCTATAGCAACACCCCCTCTTTCTCTAAAACTTTCGTTGCTCACGTGTTCAATCCATGGTATTCTCAGCATCCTTCTGTAGAACCGTACTTCTGTTATCTCGAGTCTTTTCTCAATCTTTACTGAAATGGTCCATCATTCACTGCCCTATATGAGTACTGATATTACATAACTGTTCAATACTCTTTTCTTTGTTTCAAATAAAATTTTCCTTTTTTTTAGTACTTTGCTTACTTTTTGGAAGGCATCTTTTGTTATTCCAATGTGCCTTCGTATTTCAGTGTCACATTTTCCATCCTTTGTTAAACACTTCCTAATTTGTTTTATTTATGCATATTTTTTTTACATTGATGTACATCCTGTACAAGGCCCTAGAAGGATTTGGGCTAACAGAGTAAGAGGCACAGTTTATGAGAATATTTTGGAAAGATGGCGGTTAAACATTGATATTTAAATTTATGAACTAGTTTAATTTTGGTATCTTCAATTTGTAATTCGAATGATGAGCTGTTCCTTGACAATACATTAAGTCTTCTTACAATTGGTTGTTAGTCCTTTCTTCTCGCTTTCCTTTACTATTTCCAATTTGTAGTTCGCATCTTGAGCTGTTCCCTTTGCTGAAAACCATACCTTCTGTCTTCTTACAGTTGATGGTTAGTTCTTTCTTCTCGCTTTCCTTTACTATCTTCTGTAAGGGTTCCTGTAATCTCCTTTCTGTGCTTACTATCAACACTGCAATCTACATATCTACTGCCCTTAGCAGTGTAGTCTCTAATAACGAGTCCTCGTAGGGCTTCTAATTATCTCAGGAATGCTTGATTTAAACAATAAACATGAAACTAGAAACTGAAATTGCCCAATCTCCTTAAAAACATTAATCCCCTCCCGTCCCCGAAAGGAAGGTACTGCTTGTGCGGGTGCCCCCCCCCCTGGAGTTTCACATATGACATACAGGTATATAGGAGTATTCTCCGTACACGCACTCGAACGGAATGTGGTAAATGGCCGGTTTTAAGTAATACACCATAAACCAAATGTAATCTAGTCTTCTAGTCTTCTCGGCATTTTCATGTTTGGACCCCCCGGGTTAATATGACTTGTCCCCAACGCAGCGGTTCTTGGTTTATTTGTATATTAAAATTTAAAAATCGAATTTTCGCTCTCTTCTAATCTTTGTTCTGCTAACCATTTACACACGCTCGTTCGGTAAGTCATACGCTGATTTCCTCAGTGCCTGTTTACCAATGTCTGCCAAGTAAAAACACAACCAATGTTGACTTATAGACTCAAGTATAAAACAACAGGTATCAACATGTAACAAAAAACAAGGGTTGATATATTTTGAAATCCACCAATCCAACTTTTGCTTCTTTTTCGTACCGTGTCTCTTCAGAACTTTGGTGATTTTGGCTCACCGTAATTTCTTGCCCTATGTAGCTTTTGATAACTTTCGTCTTTTTTTGCCATCACTCCCAAACCCCGCTTCGCCGTCGATTCACTCAAGCTCATCAGGAAGGTTATGCGTTGCTTCCTTCAGTGTCTTTTTACCAATACTATATCGCCAATACCACCAGCAGCTATTCCGTAATTCTTCAGTCTTCGATATCAAAGGCTGGCAGTGCATATTCGGGAAAAACATGGCGTATAGATTCAAGTAAAAACACAATCAGTGTTTACCTACAGATTCAGGTATAAAAAAAAAAACACAGATATGAACACGTAACAAAAACAAGGGTTGATATGTTTTAAAATCCAACAACCCAACTTCTTCTTCTTCTTCTTCTTCTTCTTCTTCTTCGTGCTGTGTCAGGACATTGATAACCATGGCTTTCCACAATTTCCTGTCCTTTGTAGCTCTTAATAACTTTCGTCGTTTTTTACCATTACTTCAAAACCCTGCACCGCCATACATTCGCTCAAGCTCATCAGGAAGGTTATGCGTTGCTTTCCTCAGTCCTTCTTGCCTTCAATATGTCCTGTGAGTGTCGAATTTTCTAAGCACTCTTTCCTCATAATGTGCGCTAGAAATTTAAACTGTCGCTTTCTGATGCTAATTATGTCTATTTCGTTTACATTTTCTCTAAAACTTTGTCGTTTATCGCATGGAATTCTCATCATCAATCTTAAGAACCATATTTCTGTTGCTTCAAGCCTTTTCTTCATTTTGTGAGGAGATTGTCTAGCATTCACTAAGCCCAAAATAATCCAGTCTTCTAGGTATTTTCCGTTTAGGGTTGACATCGGGGCCTGGGATTGATGTCTTTCCCCCGACGCAGCGGTTCTTGGTTTATTTGTATATTAAAATTTAAAAATCGAATTTTGGCTCTCTCCTAATCTTTGTTCTGCTAACCATTTACACAAGCCCATTAGGTAAGTCATGTGCTGCTTTCTCCAGTACCTGTTTACCAATGTTTGCCTATAGGCCCAAAGAAAAAAGACAATCAATTTTGACTTATATACTCGAGTATAAACCCGATCAATGTTTACCCATAGACTCAAGTATAAAACAACAGATGTCAAAGTCTGTCTATATTTATGAGATGACGTATTATTTACATTATTCGGACTATTGTCCTCATCTTTACCTTACCTGTTAAAAAAATTCATATATATCTTTAAATATCAATCATATATATATATATATATATATATATATATATATATATATATATATATATATATATATATATATATATATGGTGCGATGGATAAATTGCTGCCTAGATTACACAAAAAGAAAACATAACACTGACATCTCATTTTAACAGATATATTTACCAAAATTACAACTCTTCTGGACGGTCTCCTTGTTGGTGAATGTTGTAATAATCCTTGCCTTCAGTTCATTTTTCGTGTTACAAGTTTTGTTGGTCTCTGGCTCAACTGTGCCCCACGCGTAATAATCAAGGGGGTTGCATCTTGGGAGTTAGATGGCCATATGTAAGGGGTGATGTGGTCGTAGAAATTGTCTGACAATCATGATTGGATGTTCCTGCTTGTGTGGCATGGTGCAGAGTCCTGTT